GACTTCACTGGTTCCATTTTTGAGCTGCTGTCCATGATATATTCAAAATGTTTCTCACGAACTGCAATTTAAGTAGCATAACGGTTAATTAAGTATATGGGTTTTAAGAGTAATATGATCTGGAGTTGAATCCTGGTTCTTTCACATATAAGCTATACCACTTTGATCAAATTATTTTGTCTCTAAACTTTAGTACCTTGTTCTGTAAAATGAGTGATAAAAGTATCAACTTTCTAGGCTCTGAATAAAAGCATATGGAATAATATCTATAAAAGTCAAGTATAGTAGCTGGCATAATAGGAAATCAAATATGGCTCCTCATTTTGCTGAGAGTAAACACCAGAGATTTTATAATAGCCTATAAGGTCCTACAGTATCTGGATCTCCTCCTGCCCGCCTACCATCTCTTGCCCTTCTCTTCACTCATTCTGCTCCAGCCACAGTAGCTTCCATGGAATTCCTTTTACACAGCACACACAGTCCTACCTTGGGGCCTTTGTACTGCCTGTGCTCTCTGCCGGGGCATTTTTCCTCTAAGTATCCATACACTTAACTCCCTTATGTTTTTCATGTCTTTTCTCAAATGCCACCTTCTTTTAACTCACTCCCACCCCTATATTCTCAAAGCTCTATTTTTTCCCAAAGCACTGATTTTCTAACATAATGAATAACTAATGTCTATTGTTTTTGTCAGTGATATATTCCATGCACCTAGAATAATGCTTTATCACTTGTTAGGCACTGAAAAAATATTTGATGAATGATTGAATAAATGGCACTTTTATCTTCCTGAAGCTAATGAGCATACTCTGAACTCTTTGTTAAAAAGGAACCTAGTATCACGAATGAGCTTCTCTCACCACATACCTCTTATCTATCATTCTGTGTGCACCTCTTGCCTGATATAGTGAAGATGAAAAATTTAAGATAAATATTTGTATTCCATATTTACAAAATAATACCAAACATACTGTCATTTAAAATATATAACAGAATTAAAAGTGTTATTTGGAACTGACTCCTTCATTTAAATCCTGACTCAACACTTTTTAGCTGTGTGATTTTGGCCAAGTTACTTCATTTCTCTCTGCTTCAATTTTCTCAAGTACAAAAAGGGAAAATAATAATAGCATCTACTTCACTGGATTACTGTGGAAATTAAGTGAATATCTGGGAAGTGCTTAGAATAGGACTGGCCCTCAAAAGAGTGCTATCTATTATCATCATTATCATCAAGAGAAGGCTTGGAAATGGTCAATTCTGGCTACAGATGAAATGAAAGCATCTTCTCATCAACATATTAGAATGGCTTAGCTATAATCCTGGACATTGTAGAAAGTATAGAATTCCTGAGATGAGATATTGCACGGATAAGAGAATGGGAAACAGAAATTGAAAAGTTTAAATTTAGGTCAGACAAAACAGGCTTTTGACAACATTGATGTAAAAATGAGAATTAAAATCAAACTTAACTACTTAAAAACATTGCCAAAAGCTGAACTTCTTCCCAAGAGCTCTTATTACCAATGCAGTAATTCAACAGAGGAAAAAAAAAAAAAAAAAAAAAAGACAAGAAACGCATAAGAGTCTCTAAGGCAACCACTGCTTCCTAAAAGATTTTCCTAATAGCTTAATATTACCAACATAGTATTTTGATTAATGTTTAAAGTAAATATAAAATTAGGGAGAAAACAATTTAGTTTTGGAAACTAAATGAAGTTGTATCTAAAAGATTTCCGACATGGGTCTTAAGACGTATGGGGGAAAGGAAATTGTTCTGTTATAGATGAAGATAAAAAACAAAAGTATAAGGATAAATAAGTAAATCTCTGGATGGTAAAGTTGAAACACTAGTTCTAGGAACAGTCTTATTTAATAGAGTTATAAATTACAAAGATGATATATACTGGGAAATTGTCAAGTTCACTGATGATGCTAATATTTTAGCAATATTTAGGAATATTCCTAAATTTCTAAAGCAATTCTCAGTGCTTAAAAGCCCAGGTGATAACAAAATAATACAGGAAAATCTGAAGGTTGTATAATTGGGCAGAAAAATGACAGAGCTACTTCTATACTGGCGAGTATAAGAAAATCTGCTACCTTAAAATAATCTAAAATATACTGAAAGACGTGGTCCAAGCAATGAGATACAGGGCAGAAGACTGTTTTTCAAAAAACCCTGAACGATTCTAAAGTTGTTATTCTTGATAATTTTTCCAGAACCAAAGCAACAAACAAAGTGCCAGGTAAAAACCAGAGGATGTTGGAAATAGAACTCAAATCATTGATGATGAATCCATGCATGAACAACATGTATTGTTCTGGTCAGTAAGTCTCAAGCAAAGTATATTATAATTGGAGATTGTCCAGAAAAAGGTGATTAAAAAAAAACTGTAGGTGGAGGTGGCTTGGGGGAAGAGGACAATTTGTAAGGAAAGTAGAATCAAAAGAAATTACTCTGGTAATGAGGACATGATTGAAGTCTGTAAAATTCTGAAAGATATTCAAATGACTAAGTCTGAGGAAAATTAAGTGTGGGACAAAGAAGACTCAATTCACACATTCACTGAAGGATAGAGCCTATTTTATTACCATAAACCTTAATGACAGGATGTGACAGCATATTATCTTATTTTATATAGAGAGAAATATTCACAAAACTTAATTGAGTAGACTATATAACTTATTCAAGACCTTTATGGTTCAAGTTCTACTATTCTAAGAATTGTAAACATCTAAGGTTAAGCTTATGAGCCTAATTATATATAATATTGGCAAACAATCATTTTATTCAATTTTGTTTCTATGTTCAAAGAAAAGAAGGTTTGGTTGCTTCAAGAACAGGCAAGAAGCCAACTTGGAGAAAACATGCCTATTAAATAGCTGACAAGCTAATTACTATATAATCTAGAACAACTTGAATCAAAATAACTAAATATCATAGAAACTACTCATCAGCAGCAGGAAGGAGGGTGAGTGAAGTATGATTGCCAAAAACAAACTTTTTTCTGATTTGAATTAAAACACCAAAGAAAATCACAGTAGAGGTATCACCTGCTTTTATCATCACTACCCAATTCCACATTAGTTTTACAATTCTTAGCATACACAGTAAAGAAATGCTAATTATGAATGGAAAAGAGGTTAGGAGAAAGGCCAAAAAACAAGTGGTTTTCAGTTACTGATAATTCTTTACTGTTAAAGAACCATACTCGGATGACATATTAATAATGATACATGGAGGTATGTAGATTCAAATGCTGATGAAATCCAGCCAGAGGTACACACTTCCTTTCATCCCTGCATCGTGATTTCTAAGTAAACTTCCCATTTTCTATGTATTCCTAAATCATCACCCACCAAAATCTTTGAATCCTGTAACTTAAGACTAAAATATAAAAAGTAAAATCTTGCAGTTCTCAAACTTGTGATTATTACGAAAGAATAATCACAGAAATTTCTAAAACCTAGTAAAAATTTCACCAATCTTCTTGGATGGTACCCTTGATGTTTCACTCAGGTAGTATCTTTCTATAAATTTCAGGCAGCACAAACTCCTTGGTATTTATGACACAACATTAAAAAGTTTGGACTAGTGTATCATTATGGCTCCCAATTCAGAGAAATAAAATGCATATAAATTAGAGCATCAGAAGAAAAAAGAAAGAGATGAACTTGGCCACCCTGAACACAATAACACTTTTCCAAGAAATTAAGAGAAAGATGGCAATTTCTTACATCTAAAAATGGATATTATTTTATTTTTATTTTAAGTTTATTGGGGTAACATTGGTTAATACAATTATCTAATTTTCAGGTGTACATTATCATTTGACATCTGTATATTCTACTGTGTATTTACCACCCAAAGTCCAGTTTCCTTCAGCTACCATATATTTGATCCCCTTTACCCACTTCATCCTCCCCTTTCCCCCCTATATTTGACCCCCTTTACTTCATCTACTTCCCCTCTCCTCTTCCATCCCACTAGTAACCACTACTCTATAGTCCTCTGGTAACCACTAGTCTATATTTCATGTCCATGAGTCTCTGTTTGTTTGTCCTGTTCATACAAATGGTTATTTAGAAGTTTAAGATGGCAGTATAGGAAGATCCTGACCAACCTCCTCCCACGGACATAACAAATCTACAGCTATATATGAAAAAATTTCTTCTGAAAAAGACCTGAAAATTGGATGAACAAATTCTCTACAACAAAAGATAAAGAGCAGCATAAAGATGGGACGCAGAGACATGGTCTCGCAAAAAATACACACCCCAGACACAGAGATCCGCACTTGTTAGGGGTCCCCAAAATATAGAAATTTTCCCTGAAAAGTGAGGGTTTGTGCCCCACATCAGGTACCCCAAATGTTATATCTTGCACAGAAGAGATGAAGCCCCAAAACACCTGGCTTTGAAAACCAACAGGGATTATGTCCAGAAAATCCACACAACTGTAAGGAACAGAGAACCTGTGTGCAAACTCACTTGCCCAAAAACATCACAAAAACATCAGTTTGAAAAGCGCCTAGACCATATATGAAGAAAACCCACTTAGTAATTTTAAAGCCAGAGAGACAGAAAACTGTTGGGACTTTCCGTGGGAATGGAGACACAGGAGGGCACCATTTCTGTAATCTCATACTATCTTATTAATGTTGGAGCTGGCAGACACCATTTTGGAACTCTCCTAACCTGTTAGCACAAATGGGCATATGCCCTGAGAACTCTGCCCACCTCCAGGCTACAGCTGATGCATGTTACAGCTGACACATGTTACAGCCAGACCATAGCCCTCCAACATGGCACTTCAGAAGTAAAGACACACAGAGATTGAAAATAAAGGGATAGTGAAAGATAGTTCACGTAGGAAGCATTTTTCTCAGTCTGTTGACTTCTTGCTTCCAGTCATATTCTCTGTTTGACTCAAATAAACTCATAAAAATTCAAAAAGAAAAAAGGTATTCTACGGAAATAGAAAGGAAAAGAAAGCTGGGGTAGCTATATTTGTATCAGATAAAATAGACTTTAAAACAAACGCTGCATAAAAGACAAAAAAGGGCACCACATAATGATAAAGGGATCAATCTAGCAAAAAGATTTTAAAGTTTATATGCACCCAACACAGGAGCAACAAAATATACAAAAGAGATACTAACAGATCTAAAGGGAGAAATTAACAACTATACAATAATAATAAGGGACTTTAATGCTCTACTTACATCAATAGCTTGATCATCCAGACAGAAAATCAATAAGGAAACAGCGACTTTAAACAACATATTAGATCAGATGGACTTAATAGATATATATAGAACATTCCATACAAAGAAATCCAAAAATATCTACAGAAATAAAAACAGAAATACAACACACCAAAATCTAAGCAATGCAGCAAAAGTAGTTGTAAGAGGGAAGTTCATAGCAAGAAGTCTTACCTCAAAAAATGAAGAAAATCTCAAACAAAAAATCTAACTTTACACCTAAGAAAATCTCAAACAAAAAATCTAATTTTACACCTTAGAAAAAGAAAAACAAACAAAGCCCACAGTTAGCAGACAGAAGGAAATAAATAAAATAGAGACTAAAAAGAAAATAGAAAACATCAATGAAACTAAGAGCTGGTTATTTGAAAAAATAAAATTGACAAATCTTTAGTTATACTAACCAAGGGGAAAAAACAGAGCAGGCTCAAATAAACAAAATCAGAAATGAAAGAGAAGTTACAACTAATACTACAAAAATACAAAGGTTCATAAGAGATTACTACAAACAATTAGATACAAACAAATTAGATACAAACAAAAGAAAATCTGAATAGATCAGTTACTAATAAGGAGATTGAATCAACTCTCAAAGAAACTCTCAACAAACAAAAGTCCAGGACCAGACAGCTTCATTTGTGACTTCTACCGATCAAAGATTTAGTTCATATCCTTTTCAAACTCTTTCAAAAAATTGAACTCATTTTACAAGGTCAGCATTACCCTGATACCAAATTTAGACAAGGACACCACGCACGCAAAAAAAGAAAATTACAGGCCAATACCCTTATGAACACAGATGCAAGAATCCCCAATAAAATATTAGCAAACCAATTCCACAGTGCATTTAAGGATCATATAACATGATCGAGTGGATTTATTTCAGGGATGCAAGGACGGTTCAACATCTGCAAGTCAATCAACATGATACACTACATAAACAAAAGGAAGAATAAAAATCATATGGTCATCTCGATAGATGCAGAAAAAGAAAGTTTTTATCCATTTATGATAAAAACTCTCAACAAAGTGGGTATAGAGAGAACATACTTCAACATAACAAAGGCCATATATGACAAACCCACAGTTAATACCATACTCAACGTGAAAAGCTGAAAGCTTTTCCTCTAAGATCAAGAACAAGACAAGGATGCCCACTCTTGCCACTTTTATTCAACATAGTGTTGGAACTCCTAGCCACAGCAACTGGGCAAGAGGAAGAAGCAAAAGGCATCCAAATGAGAAAGGAAGAAATAAAATTGTCACTATTTGCAGATAACATGATAATATGTAGAATACCCTAAAGACTCCACCAAAAAACCATGAGGACTAATAAATAAATTCAGTAAAGTAATAGGATACAAAATTAATGTACAGAAGTCTGTGGCATTTCTATACACTAATAATGAACTATCAGAAAATAAATAAGAAAATAATCCCATTTACAATTTCGTCAAAAAGAAAATACTTAGGTATAAATTTAACAAAGAGGTGAAAGACCCGCTGAAAAAATAAATTGAAGAAGATACAAATAAATGGTAGGATATTCCATGCTCATGGATTGGAAGAATTAATATTGTTAAAATGTCCATACTACTCAAATCAGTCTGCAGATTCAATGCAATCCCTATCAAAATTCCAATGTCATTTTTTTTCCACAGAACTAGGACAAATAATTCTAAAATTTATATGGAAACACAAAAAATCCTAAATAGCCGAAGCAATCTTGAAAAAGAAGAATAAAGCTGGAGGTGTCACACTCCCTGATTTCAAACTATATACAAAGCTATAGTAATCAAAACAATATGGTATTGGCATAAAAACAGACACACAGATCAGTTAAACAGAATCCAGAGCCCAGAAATAAACCTGCACATATATGGACAATTAATTTATGACAAAAGAGCCAAGAACATACAATAGAAAAAGCAAAGTCTCTTCAAGCAATGGTGTTAGGAAAATTGGACAGCTACGTGCAAAAGAATAAACTAGATCATATTTTACACCATACGAAAAATTTACTTAACTTGAACATAAGACCTGAAACCATAAAATTCTAAGAAGAACACATAGATAGATGGTAAGCTCCTTGACATCGGTCTTGGCGATGTTTTCATGGATATGACTCCAAATGCAAGGAAAACAAAAGCAAAAACGAATGTGACCACATCGACCTAAAAAGCTTCTGTACAGAAGAGGAAATCATTGTCAAAATGAAAAGGCAACCTACTAAATGGGAGAAGATATTTGCAAATCATACATCTGACAAGGGGTTAACATATAAAATATATAAAGAATTCATACAACTCAACAGCAAAAGAACAAACAACTCAATTTTAACCATGGGCAGAAGAACTGAACATTTTTCCAAAGACATACAGATGGCCAACAGGCACATGAAAATATGTTCAATTTCACTAATTATTAGAGAAATGCAAATCAAAACCCCAATGAGGTATCATCACACACCTGTTAGAATGGCTATCACCAAAAGGACAAGAAACAACAAGTGTTGGAGAGTATGTGGGAAAAAGGGAACCCTGTACACTGTAGGTGGAAATGTAAATTGGTACAGCCAGTCTGGAAGACAGCATGGAGAGTTCTCAAAAAATTAATAGAACTACCATATGATTCAGCTATTCTACTCCAGGTATTTATCCAAAGAACACAAAAATGTTAATTCAAAAAGACATATGCACTCTTAAGTTCATTAAAGAACTATTTATAATAGCCAAGAAATGGAAACAATCTAAGTGTCCATCAATGGATGAATGGATAAAGAGATGTGGTATATATACATAATGGAATACTATTCAGCCATTTGCAACGACATGGATGGACCATGAGGGTATTACACTAACTAAAATCAGTCAGATGGAGAAAAACAAATACCATATGATTTCACTCGTACGAAAAATCTTAAAAAAAAACAAAACAAAACATAAAACAAAAACAAACTCAGAGAAACAGAGATTGGCAGTTACCAAAGGTGGAGGAATTTGCAGGGTGGGCAAAATCAGTAAAGGGGATAAACTGTATGGTGAAGGACAGTTACTAGACATTTGGTGGTGATCACTTTGTAGTATATACAGATATAGAATTATAATGTACATCTAAAACATATAACGCTATATACTAATTTTACCTCAATTTAAAATAAATAAAGATTTAAAAAGCTATTTGTTTCTTCAACTAAGTTGAAGGCTAATACAAGTATACTGTTTGGTTTTAATGCTTACTGCACAATTTCTTACTTCCTTCTATAATACAGTTGTTTTGGAAAACAGATATAGTGGATTACCAATAAAACTAAAAACTGCCCAATTTTCTACTAAGTTAAGTTCATTTTCTACTGAGCCCAAGACATATTCATTTTGTGACTTCTCTTACCTTCCTTCATCTCTTCAGAACTATATGCTCCTTGGACAGTGCTCTCTCTCAACCAAATGGGTCTCTCTTTGGCAGATTTCCCCTCCAGTGAGGCTCGATGAAGATCTTCTTGGTCATCCATGTTAATGACAACATTCTGAGTATACAAATCCTCATAGGAGGGACCTTTGGCAGCCCATGCTTCCCGGTGGTGCCCACCTGCCAGGCCAGCAGTTCCAGCAGTAGTTGCTGCACGGTCCTTGCTTTACAAAAAGATTAGAAGAGGACAGTAAGAAAAACAATTAAAGTCTTGGTTGGAAAAGAAAGGCATCAGGAGAGGTGGTTACTAAAATATTACAAATAAATGCTATCTAGCAATCATGCACACACGTTTAAGAATTTTGAGAAGCCGCTCATATACCTCAGGATGAAAGCTGCATGAGCTGAAAGAATGTATCATATTTATATTTAAGTTCCTCAATCACTGGATCATCTGATGTATCTAAAGGACTGAAGTTTTATAGTTTAAAACATTTCAATAAATCTACTTAGGGAGAGGGGAGAATATGGGAACACAATCCACTTAGATACTAGTCTGGCAAAAATCTCTGCCAGTCACATCTTTCATGAGTATTTTATTTAAAAACAAAACAAAACTTAAAACAAACAAAACATTTTTAAAAAACATTTTCTCAGCTCAACCCAGAATAATTCAAAGTGGTTCTGTCTGCTTTTCTCTTTCTTTTCTGTACTGTGAAGCTAGAAAAATATTCTACAAAGCCAGACTTCAGCTTGGAATTAACATTCTTTTCCTGCTTCACCAAATAAGGCACATCCTTATGCAAAGAATAGCCTCTTTTCTACTGAGTTCTATCTTTCCATCTCTGTGCCTATGTTGACTCTCCATATCCTTCCTTCAATTATTATTTCTACCCTGAAGTAACCATGATCTAATTCTCAGTCTATTTTGTTTTGCTTTTTACTGCTACTACCCATGATCCTCTTAGCCTGTTCCAGGCCTGATCATTCCTTATCTTTCTTTAGACACTAATGTTTCCTTATCTCTATGAGTTAAAGTTTTCTCTCTAGTGCTCCCTGTGTTATCTGCTTGTTCTACTTTCAAGCTGTTCCATATTCATTTGAATGTACCTGATTCTCTGTGTGTCTAAGCTCTCCTATTTTTCTCCGCCTGCTATTATGCTTTCCCTGCACTAACTTCTATGCAAGACTCTCCCTCCCTCTCTGTTTAGACAGCTATGTTTTCTCCCATAAACTATCTTCATGTTTCATGAGCTTCCTGCTCTATACCTTTCTTTATACCTTTTGCTGTATTCTTTTCAGTGTCCACTGATGGACACTTTTGGCTTTATGTTTCTCCTTTACTTCTCTTCCATTTTTCTCTAAGTCTTTTCCATGGATCTTAGACTGATGTCTTGAGTGGAGCCCTGTCTCATTTTGAGCCCAATACTACTTCATTTGTCTTTATGTCCTGTACCACTTCTATCTCTCATGAGCCATTCACTATTTTTCCTTCTCTTTAGTCCTTCATTTCTGCTTACTCCATTGCTCTTCATTTCTTCCTAGGCCCACTTAATAGCTACTTGAGCTTTCTGCCTCATCCTTTCTTGAAGTTTCTCTGATGTATATCTCTGTCCATGTATCTGATTGGCCCATTTCATCTCTCCCTGAGAATACTGTGTTTCTGACCATCCTCTGGAGGTAATTCTGGGCTTATCGCGTTCCTCCTGTTCTCCCTCTGAATATCTACAGTCCCACTGCCACTTCTGCTATACAAAAATGTGTTCTCTTCAGTTGCCCAATCCATGTTGATCCAGTCTTTTGATCCATGCCTGTTAGCTACTGCCTTTAGCTATACCCGGAGCTCCTTATAAACCTTTTGTTCCCATGGCCTTTGAACCAATTATTTGTTTTTCCATTCTGACTCCAGGCTTACTAGGTACCTCTCGGTACCCAATCTATCTACTTGTCTTGCTATAAAGTCTTAGGCTATAGTTGCAAATAACTGGTTTCTCTCTATCTTTTCTTTCTGCATTCCCCTAATGTTACTTTTTACACTATTTACTTTCAAGTTAATCCTTATCTGTCCTTAGTCATTCTTTATCTTCTACCTCATACATGATGTCTTCTAAAAGGCTGTGTTGCTGCATTGTTGCCTTCACTATAATCTGACTCTGCTTACTCTGGTGTAAATTGGCTTGGTCTACCTCAAGCATTCGTTTTTTTCTCTTCTTCTCTCTTGGTCTGATCTGTGTTTATACGTTATGTGCTCAATCTATATCCTAAGTCTCTCTTCTCTAAGCCAGCTGCCTTCTTGACTGCTTTGAATGTCTCTTCTGTCCCCAACTTGTAGTGTTGAGCCTGCTGTATATTTCTGTCTACCCCCAAATGGGTCTCCTGAGCTAGTCATATGCCTTTTCTTTCCACCCACTCAATGTTCTTCTAGCTCTGACCTGGCCAACTACACCCTTATCCTAATCTATTTCTCCTCCATCCTGACTCTTAAATGATTCACTCACTCTTTCTGAAGCTACTGTTTCTCTCCATATATAATCTTTCATCTATGCTCTATTTTTAACAGTAACTCTGAAGACTATCTTCTGAAGGTCAGCTAGTATTCAGTACTTTGAACAGGAAACAAGAAAAATAGAAAAAACAAGACAAAATAAATGTTAGCACAAAACTACTTTTTAAAAGTCTTTTGTTTTTAGTACTTCATTATGGAAACTCAAGATTGGTTTTACTACAGTTTGAAGCAGGAGATATTTGACCACAAGTCAAACAAAATTTAAAATTTTGCTAGAATTTCTTTTAAAAGATATTTTTAACCATGAAGAGTCAACTACACAGATTTTATTTCTACCTTCACCACAGATACAGACAAATCTAAATCATCAGCAAATGTGACGCTAAAAATCTAGATGGGAGACACTTAGGTGCACTCCTGCATATTTAAATTTCTGCTATGGAGAGAATGTACACATTTTACTTACAGATGACAAAAGTGACAATTTAGTTTCGAATGTTTTTACGATAAGAAATTTTAGAATGTTTAAAAGAAGTTACTCAGAAGCGAGAGAGGAATATTATTTCAAACTAAATTTTTAAAGATCTTTAAGGTGAGTGTTAAATAAAAGATAATGGAAAAGAAAAGACTACGGGAAAGGAATTCAATTTAAGAAAGACAAGAAAACTTTAAATATCACTGATGGGCCTTGCTAAAAGGCTGGAACTGTCCATCAGCTCTAGGGTTAAGTCTACTAGTTCTGCAAAGACAGCCTCTGGTTCCTAGGTATATGCTAGAATTTGACTGGTTACAGATCAGTAACCAAACTAACAATGATGCCACTTATTTTTTAAAAATCATCAATGAATTACCATTGTCTCTGAGCTCCCATGCCACTCTATTGTAGTTTCTTTTCTTGTATTTGGGGCACAGGATGGCTATTACAGAACTGTTATGCTTCAAAACAGATCCTATAGTACAAAAAGGCTAAACCAATACTACTTCTAGGATGCTATATCAGGGTGGTGGAGCTTGTCAAATGCTTGGTGAGGCCATCTCTGCCAGGGTTACACCTTGTAACCTAGCTCCAACAGTCCTCCTGACCACATGGAAGCAGTTGTCCTTTGTTCTGGCTGGCAGCTCCACGTATCCTATTCTGTATCTTTTGCCTGCCTCCATTTCCCCCTTTCTTCCCTAGAGACCAGGCTTTCCTGATCATTATTTCCTGTTTCCTGATTCTTCTTCATTCCTGGAGTTACCATCATTCCTAAAGAGAAGCCACGTGACTTGCAACAGTGAGTTACTATTGAGCTTCTGGTGTCGCTGTACAACTTAGACTTGTCTCCGGCATGGAGTAAGAGATAACTAACTAAATAAAGATCTGGAATGGGAGATAGAGTATGGTAGATGGAGAACATTAGAAGCAGGATGCCAGTAGTAGTGATGAATGAATGCTATTGCAGTGGGGAAGCACTTTGACAAACAGGAAAATAACTATAGTTAGAAGAGGACACATGAGAATAATTCACAGTTATTTCAAGTTGCAGCATACTTCAACTTGAAATAACAAACAGATTTAGAAAATTATGTCGTTTTGTAAAATAAATTTCCCTCATAGGTTTCTATGTTTGAATTAAAGTATTACTTCAGTGGACAGAAAAAGATTAAAAAATTAATTCTCAATAAGAGACCAAATGACCAGTAACAAAAATTTCAGGCTATCTGTGATACGGATGATATTGGTTGCCTATCAATTGTGGCCCCTCTCTTTCTTTGCTTATTAATTTTATTCAAAAACTGATGGCTATTTGCTCCAAAGAACTCTGAGACCTTTCCAAGTACTAGGAGGTTAACCTTAAATAGTATAAGCGCCAATCATGTGATCTCATATCCTTTGCCAAATGCTAGTTTAGAAATAAGCATATAAAGCAATCTGGCCAGAGAGACATTGAGGGATAGAGTAGGATGAAGAGTGCCTTCTGGGAAAGTCTTCTTCAATCTTAAAATAAGACACAAGGAAGAGATGGTCCCTTTTTTCTGCATTTGGACATTTTCATCTATTTGTGATACCTAGAAAGATTTGGCCATCTTAGGCTAGCTCATCTCATAGTCCCAAAAGGACAACCAGCAGGCTGAATTTAGCAGAGTATAAACATGGAACAAATCTAGATTCCTGAGAATGTAACTGAGTTATGAAATTAATCCTGAACTGTACTCCTCAGGACTTCTGGTCATGCTAGAGAGGCTTTTCTTACGTTCAAGCTACTTCTGGTTCAGTTTTTAGTTATCGCAGGTAGGTAAAGACATCCTAACTGATCCTTAGTGCTAGACTGTAAAATTCATAATACCTGTACAAAAACAAAACTTGCTGTACAATTGGATTGTTTTTAACCACCCAAAAGAAACTCGATTTGCTTAGGATTGTGCAAAACTGGCTTTTCTTAACTACAGTACCAGAGGGCATTAAAATACTAAGAGTGCTCCTCAAAACTATACAATTACAACTTGGACTACTGGGTACTACGGACGGGTATAAACTTTAAGCTCTTAATTTGACACTAGAAAGGAAAAAAGAAAGGGTAGAGTAGGAAAAATCTCCCTGACTCCTAAATCTCATGTATGCTTTTCAAAAAAGAATATAAACCACTTTTATGAAATGGCAAAACTAAGGCTGACTCTGCAATGCAAGTATTAGGATACACTCATAAAAAAAGGGAGCCATGATAAGAAGTATTAACCCATAGGTAACACTTCACTTCCAAGGAAGTTGCTTTGAAAACTAAGGCAGGCAAGAAAAATGTAATTAAAATGCTTCAAAAACAAAAAAGTGAATGCTGTATTCCTTATAGAACTTCAGCCTTCAGAATTTGGCTACGAAAACTCAATATCCCCAAGAGGCACAACCAATTTAGGATTAGCTAACTGGCTGAGTTGCAGCAGTCCTAAGTAGAGTTAGTACTTGAAGTCAAACCTGACTATTTAAAGATTTCTGCCTAAGGCCCACACTGTTCTGCATTCAGTACAAACAAATTTTATCACAGGCACGAGTTAATAAGACAAGTGTGGCAGAGCTAAGAATCTATGGAACATTAGTCTTTAGTCTCTCGGTAAATTACCCATTCATGCTCTCCAAGGTGCAGGTGTGAAAGAGCAAGGTTAAAAGTGTTCTTGCTTAAGGGCGCGGGGCCTAAACTCACCTCTGTTTCAGAGCTGGTATTTCTGTGGGTTCTGGCTCAAGTATTTCATAGGCCAAGTTCACATCCTCTGTCTCCCGAAGCAAAGCATAAATGGGCTCAATTTGTTCATTAAACCTTGCCAAAAGTGTGCGTGCATCTTTTTTGGGCATTGCTGATTCATCTTCTTCTACCTCTGTACGGCAAAAAGTACAGTGGAAAGTTCCTACAGAGGAAAAAGTCGCAGTTCAGAGAAAAATTCTCAAGACTAGCCTTTAGCAAACCATTTATATCTCCACTCCTCCTCTATTATGTTATTATTAAAACTTTCAAATATAAAGAAAAGCTGAAAGAGTTTTACAGTGAACATTCACATGCCCATCATCGAGATTCTACAATCAACATTTTGCTATATTTGATTTATCACATATCTATCATTTTTTTATGCTTTTCAAATTTCATGACTGCAGCATAGCAAATTTATACTTATTTTAACTTAAAACCAAATTTTTTACAGCTTACGTGAAACTTG